ATTCTTCCATTTGCTTTAGCTTCTCTATGCTGGAAAGCAAGTTTCAGAGTCTCCTCTGACATCCATTTTGACCTTTTCCTTCTTTCTTGTCTTCTTAAAGACTTTTTGCTCTCTTCATGTATGATGTTCTTGATGTCATCCCACAACTCTTCTGGTCTTCAGTCTCTATAGTGTTTAATGCATCAAATCTGTTCTTCAGATGATCTCTAAATTCAGGAGGGATAAATTCAAGGTCATATTTTGGCTCTCATAGACTTGTTTTCATTTTCTTCTATCATGGGCGGCAATGGCTAAACAACGTGCGAGAACTGCGCAGACCTGGTGGAGGTGTTAAATGAAACCCAGACCAGGGAGCAGTGGGGTAAGAAGTGTCTGGAGATGAGGTCGATGGGGAGATGCTGCCTAGCGGGAAGAGACTGCAGGGGCTGGCCAGGCTGTCCTACTTACCCCGGACGCGAGAGTGCCTTCCTAGCCTAACCGTTGACTTGTGGCTTTGAAGCGGAGTCGACCAACTTAGAGACCCACAAGCCCAGCCAAAAGCGTCTCACTACAACCCAGTCGCCCCTGCTGCGCTTCTGCCCCTTGATTGATATCCAAGGACAGAAATCCCGCCTTTGAGCCAGACTTAAGGGCCCTAGCACAATGAGATTCCTATTTAACAGCAACCACACAACCGCCACTCGTCTGTCTGTCGTGCTGTGATGGTTTGAATTGCTGTGATTCTGAGGGCAATGCCACCGGTATTTTAAATAACCAGCAGGGTCACCCATGGTGGACAGGTTTCAGATGAGCTTCCAAACAAAGACAGGCTAGGAAGAAAGGGTGACAAACTACTTCCGAATCGCTAGTCACTGAAAACTCTATGAATAGCAGAGAAACATTGTCAGATACAGGACTGGATAGTGGGAAGGCACTCAGAATGCGACTGGGGAAAAAAATGCCTCCTCCAAGTAGAGAAAAGCTCACAGAACCTTCATTTGCTAATGGGCCACAAATCAAAATGAAGAGAAACAGCTGTAAACATCCACTGAAAATTGGAACACAGAATGTACGAAGTATGAATCTGGGAAAACTGGAAGTTGTCAAAAATGAAATGGAACGCATAAACATCGATATCTTAGGCATTGTTGTTGTTGTGAAGTGCCTTCGAGTCGGAGCCGACCCATAGCGACCCTGTACAGGGTTTCCGAAGGTGTAAATCCTTACGGGAGTAGAAAGCCTCATCTTTCTCCCGCGGAGCGGCTGGTAGTTTCGAACCACTGACCTTAAGGTTCGCAGCCC